GGGGGGGGGAGACAGAGTGGCTAGACGACTGGAGACTCGGAGGAAGCTGCACAGTGTACACAAATACTGTGTGTATGCAAAAAGGAAAAACATCTGCATGCCAGAAGACAGGAATAAAAACTAATACAAACAAAAAAGATACAAACGCAGATATATGCAAATAAAACGCTTACTGTGTACACCATATTTCCAACAAATAGGTAGTCATTTCCCTGACCGCTGCTGAACGGGGCGTCTGTGGGACACACACACACACACACACACACACACTCTCTCTCCACACACACACACACACACACACACACACACACACACACACACACACACACACACACACACACACACACACACACACACACACACACACACACACACACACACACACACACACACACCTCATGACAAAGTGAAACCAGCCAGAATTATGGGAATTTGCACGAGTTACTCAGGCGTGTTTCTTACCATGCTCTAACATTTTGAGAGGAAACCAAAAGAGAATAATTGAATGAATCAGTGCATTGATACAAGTCCCCCAGAACACCTGAGAGACAGAAAGAGAGGGGAGGGAAAGTGAAACAAGTCAGTAGAGAGTAATGCCAAAGCACATATATGCCCCCACACACACCTTCCACTGTGTTCCTGCCATCAGAAGTGCCCTCCACACACACTCCCACACATACAGTAGGTTGGGTTGCTAGTGTACCGTCCAAAATGAAAGACTTCATTATTCCTATGACTTTCATTAGGCGTAGCCATGGAAACATCCCAGTCCCTTATGCCACTCTTGTTTACTCGCCGGCGTCCCAAACAAACAGTAGGCATCACCCGTCAATCCCACAGGACGAGTCGAAGGCAGAGGTGAGGTGTGTGTGCGTGTACCTACCTTGGTGTTGAAGCCCTCAGCATTCTGGGTGATTCGGTAGAGCTGCGGGAAGCGGAGCATGTTCTGTTGGCTGCACGGCCGGTCAAATATTCCCAGAGTGAACGGAGGCAGTGCGGTAAATATCTGCAACACACACAACAAACACACACAGACATTAAAACACGCATTGACAATCAGCAGTGGCATTAAAGAGGCCCTATTATGATTTTGGGTTATATGTAATTATGTGCAGTTAAGTGGTCTGCAAAGGCTAAGAATCCCAACGTTCCTGAAACTCCTCCATGCGACTCCTTTGTTTACTTCCATTAAATCGCTATGTACCACTTCTATTGGCTAGCCTTTCAACACATTGTACGTGATAGGTTAAAGGGCAGGACATCTCTAAGCGGTTGACCAATCACAACAGAGCCGGCCAGCTAACCAATCGGAACAGACTGGGCTCTCGTTTCAGACAGAGGGGGAAAAGAGGTGCTGCAGCACAGGCAGTATGAGAAAAATACAGAGCTTTTTGAACATTAAAGGTGACCTATCATGCAAAATGCACTTTTGTACGTCTTTTAAACATGAATATGTGTCCCCGTGGTTCCAGGGAACTCACCAAGTGCCGGAAAACATAACCCTCTCTCTTTTCCTCCATACCCAAATCTCTTAAAAAGGGGCTGCAACGGATCTGATACAGACTGATCCAGATTTGAACACTTCTATGACGTCACAGAAGTGGCGCTACAGCTATTGGGACAACTCCACCAATCAGGAGGAGACAGCCACGGACATTGCCGTTGGAAAGCGCTGGAGACGCTGTAGTACATATGCCAGGCCTGTAGATGGTGCTGTTCTCACAGAATCAGCCCATGAAAAGACAGTGTTGAATTGCGCGAAATGAAGAATGGCTAAAATGCATGATCTGTTTGGTATTTAGAAAAATAAAAAGTATAAATATGCCTTATATAGGTATGGTCCTACACTATATTATTCAAATATAGCATGATAGGTCCACTTCAAAGCATGGAGACATGTAGAGACACTACATACTGGGTGTTTCTCAATGTCAAGGAAGGCTGCTCCAGAGCCACTATTTCAAGGATGCTACGCCATCGAGTCCCGCCGTAGCGAGACATTTCGCACATGTGTATCCTCCGCGGTCTTAAAATCCCCACAATGCTTTGCGCACAGACCAATTTCCCAAAATTGAAGGCGGAAAATTTAAGGCGGGGCCTCTCATATGACGCACTTGCTCGCCTGTTCCACTCTTTGTTTGTTTTCCGAATGCCAGGAAGGATTCTTGCCTAGCTTCTGAAGGAAGTGAGTCGGAAGACATGTCCTACCAAGGAAGCGTCCTCGACATTGAGAAACACCAACTGATATGAACCTGAATGAGAATAATAGGGCCTCTTTAAAAGGAATTCCATAAAGCCTGAAGGTATTTGCAGACAGTCGGACATATTCACTAACAGCTGGCACTAAAACAGAAAAAACTCTGCATGCAAACAAACATTTCTGGCTGAGATTAAGAGACAACGTGGAGAGAGATTGATGTTGAGATAGCAAGAGAGCGAAAGACACACTTAAGGTGAACAGGGAGGGGGAGAGACTGAGTGGAGGAATGGAAAAGAGTTAGGGCGGGTACTCACCACGTTGTAGAGGCCTATACACCAGCGCTCAAAAAGGATCTGTCCGGAGAACCCGTTCACAAAGGCGAACCAGAGCTGGGACACAAAGAGAGGGATGAGAGGGGATGAGAGGGACAATGGCGGAGGGTACATCTGCCTTAGGGAGGTACTGATAGTGGAAACAGCAGCAGGACATGGCCAAATGTGTGGCCCTGTTTACAAAATGAGAGGTTCACACGAGGAACATTTTGTACTTTATAGCGTCAGAGGAAACCAGGAATCCCAACAGTGTGTGTCACTTTAATGACGTTTCAGTCGTTCAGAAGGTAAGATCATGAAATGTAAATCAAAGTGTATCATAGGTCAACTTTTTTAAATCAGTTCCAAACAATGGTTGATTTCTGTTGCATTTAAGTCAATAGTACTCTTTGTAACATTTCTTTATGTGTTGGTATTTATTGTAGTGTAATTGTAGTGTTTTCTTCCTGGTTAAAAACAGGAACAAAGTAAATACATCTTTAGTTAACGAAAAAAGTAAGCCCATCCTTCAGAAAGCAGTTATGGGAATTGTGGTCATAGTTTTATGAAACATAAGAGCAATAAACAGCACTATGTACACGAGACGGTTGTCCCATTTGTTTGCTGTAATTAATCCAAAGCGTAATGATTCTTCTGGCTGTGTTGCATTGGTTTTTAAATATAAATTATAGCAGTTGCACTTCCTGTACCTCCATTAAACTGAAGTAGTAAAAGCATTCCTCCTGCAGGTTGTGGCTGGCTCTGAAACCTCTTCCTGATTTTATAGAAGATAATTTACTGAAATCACAGCCTTTAAATATGACTGGCTCAGGGGAGAACTTCATTAACGCCATCACACACACACACACACACACACACACACACACACACACACACACACACACACACACACACACACACACACACACACACACACACACACACACACACACACACACACACACACACACACACACACACACACTGCTGGGAGTTGTGGCATTCCTCGGGCATACAGTGCAGCATACAGCCCAGGGGTGAGGTCAGATACACAAAAACACACACACACACACACCCCCCATCCCCCTTATTCTGTCTCCACTAAGTGGACAGAGACAGTCTCTAACCTTTGGCCCACAGCGCCCCGCAGGGAGCCAATCATGTGAGATAATCATGGAAACACAGAAACACAGGCACACACATACACAGGCACACACACAGGCACACACACACACACGCTGTAGTGGTGTGAGCGGGACAGTAGTCTCCCAGGACCTGCACCTGCTGGCATCCTTAATGTGAGACACAGGGTGAGGAGGGGGTGTGGAGCACAGCTGGCACAGCTGACACACACACACACACACACACACACACACACACACACACACACACACACACTCAGTTACATTAACAGAGACGTTCTGCAGCTGTTTGTCGACATGGCTGACAGTGATGGACGAGCTGCCCTCCTGGTGTCTGCTTTCTGTCTCTTTTGCACACACACACACACAGAAAAAAAAA